GGATTCACTGCATTTACGGCCAGCAAAGCAACGTAGTAAAATTCAAATAGTGTTTTATTTTTCGAATAATAATTACAGATCAAATATTCGTGCACACCCCTACTTAATACTAGGGGTGTAACAATACATCGATATGGATCGATGCATCGATCAAACGTCTAACGATACGATGCATCGATACCACACATAAAACATCGATGTACGGTACCTTTATTTTGACACTCCACATCCTCACGTAACTTTTCTCTGCTGAAATAGACGCCTGACAAGATTGACTGAACCCTTTGTCACAACACCTGTATTTTCCACTGTCATCGCGAGTTCATGTTTTACACATAGACTGTAAAATGGTTTTACAGCAGAAACAACAATCCCCGAAAAGTCTGTTTTAGCAAATCAGTGCACAGTATTCAGGTCAGGTGACGCTGCTTGTCACGAAAAGACGCGCTAGCTGAGAGAAGTTTCGTAAAAGCTGACTAAAAGTGGTCGAGGATGGATTTCAGCGAACTTGATGAACGTGATATCTTCTTCGGGGCGTAAAAGTAAATTAAAAGCTGAAACTTTGTCACGGAATCTTGCTAAAACAGCACGTTTAGTGGTGAGTGGAAAGCTCTCTGTATTGCGTGTACGTTAATCAGTAATCACAACAACAAAGTTCGACAGCTGCGTCTATGTCAGCTGTTACAGATTAACCAAGTGTTTTATTATGTATCATAGCAAATACTTGGCTTTGTTTAACTCTGAAACATGAAATGTGGAGTTATCTGCTTTTGCCACACACATATATATAGCCTATACATCCTTTCAATGAACTTTAATATAACAGAAGAGTTCATTTGCAAAAACAGATAACTCCTTTCTTGTTCATTTTCTTGTTCAAAAATCATGTTTTTTTTTTTACTTGTAACAAACAACTTGTAAATGTCCGAGTTGGGTGAGGGTGTGCAATTTTAAAAGAGTTTAAATAAACGTTCTTGTTATACACTCACCGGCCACTTTATTAGGTACACCTGTCCAACTGCTCGTTAACACTTAATTTCTAAGCAGCCAATCACATGGCGGCAACTCAGTGCATTTAGGCATGTAGACATGGTCAAGACAATCTCCTGCAGTTCAAACCGAGCATCAGTATGGGGAAGAAAGTTGATTTGAGTGACTTTGAAAGTGGCATGATTGTTGGTGCCAGAAGGGCTGGTCTGAGTATTTCAGAAACTGCTAATCTTCTGGGATTTTCACGCACAACCATCTCTAGGGTTTACAGAGAATGGTCCGAAAAAGAAAAAACATCCAGTGAGCGGCAGTTCTGTGGGCGGAAATGCCTTGTTGATGCCAGAGGTCAGAGGAGAATGGCCAGACTGGTTCGAGCTGATAGAAGGGCAACAGTGACTGAAATAACCACTCGTTACAACCGAGGTATGCAGCAAAGCATTTGTGAAGCCACAACACGCACAACCTTGAGGCGGATGGGCTACAACAGCAGAAGACTCCACCGGGTACCACTCATCTCCACTACAAATAGGAAAAAGAGGCTACAATTTGCAAGAGCTCACCAAAATTGAACAGTTGAAGACTGGAAAAATGTTCCCTGGTCTGATGAGTCTCGATTTCTGTTGAGACATTCAGATGTTAGAGTCAGAATTTGGCGTAAACAGAATGAGAACATGGAACCATCATGCCTTGTTACCACTGTGCAGGCTGGTGGTGGTGGTGTAATGGTGTGGGGGATGTTTTCCTGGCACACTTTAGGGCCCCTTAGTGCCAATTGGGCATCGTTTAAATGCCACGGCCTACCTGAGCATTGTTTCTGACCATGTCCATCCCTTTATGGCCACCATGTACCCATCCTCTGATGGCTACTTCCACCATGTCACAAAGCTCTAATCATTTCAAATTGGTTTCTTGAACATGACAATGAGTTCACTGTACTAAAATGGCCTCCACAGTCACCAGATCTCAACCCAATAGAGCATCTTTGGGATGTGGTGGAACGGGAGATTCGCATCATGGATGTGCAGCTGACAAATCTGCGGCAACTGTGTGATGCCATCATGTCAATATGGACCAAACTCCCTGAGGAATGCTTCCAGCACCTTGTTGAATCTATGCCACGAAGAATTGAGGCAGTTCTGAAGGCAAAAGGGGGTCCAACCCGTTACTAGCATGGGGTACCTAATAAAGTGGCCGGTGAGTGTATATTTGTGGATGTATTGAGTTAATAAACGTAACTGGTTGTGTACACTTGGCACATAATATCTAAATATCGATTAATCGATCGATATAGCCCTGAATCGAATCGTATAATTTTTTGAGGTATCGGCAAATATCATATCGCTGGCTGAGAGAATCGATATCGTATCGTATCGTGATTAACTGTCCGATTTACACCCCTACTTAATACACAGTGCGTGAGTACCAAACAGAGAGACTCTGAGAGAGGTTACTTTCGCTTATGTGCACTTGAATGTTTAAATTGACAATGCTTAAAAAGGCGCAAATTATTAAAGGTGCTCTACGTAACTTTTAGCGGCCTCTAGTGGTGATGTTTTAGATTGCAACCAAATTTTACAAGAGCGCTCGTGCTCAAACTCATAGACAATACCGTCTATTACGCAAATATCTCGGCGAATACTAGACGGATTCGGCGAGCACCGAGCTCGTTGGGACCATCTAGTCGAGCTGAAAAGAACCATATAAGTTCCATAGTTTTTGGTGGTGTTTTCGAGTAGACATTAGCAGAAAACCATCGGGCGCGCTGCAAAATTGCGGACGCCGGTGACGTCACGATCTCAGAAGAAAATCGCTCGTATCTCTGGAACGCAAAGACCCAGAGAGCTCAAATTCGGGGGAGGAGGTCCCAGGGGAACCCTTGCCCGAATGCTAGAGTGGCGGGCCTCGGGGATGCCCCCTACCGGATCGCCGTTCGCTGGGACCCCCGATTTCGAACAGCTATAACTCGGGGAGCCGGGCGAGTTGGACCTCGGGGGTGGGCTCGTTCGAAAGGCCCCGTCCAGCACTACGAACGATTAGAGTCTTGGGAATATTGATCAAAGATTGACTGGGATATAAACCGAAAAACGTGCGCCTTTAACCGGACGTAACTCCCTGACCGTCTACAATAGACTGTATATGTGACCCGATCTGGCGAAATGAGTCGGAAGTCGCAACGTTCTATTTTAAGATATGGGCCGATTATGTGGAAAAACAATGAAATAATAGATTTTTTTTTTTTTTTTTTTTGCTAATTCCAAAGAACAGACATTCAAAAATAATCTCCCAAAGTTTCGTAGTCCAGATAATTGAGTAAAGGTATTTAAATTTCTATTAAAGTTTACAAAGTTTTACTAAATTCGCTGGAAATGAACATTGCTTTTCTCAACTCCTCTCGTCACCTCTGAGCATTTCCCGGGTATCCCCTGAAACGTCACTATCTCTGCTCTTTAAATGGTGTTACACGTTGTATAGAACCAATCAAAAAGCTTAGAAATGTACACAAATGCTGATCATTTGTCGATGGGAAGCCGTTTCGACTGACCGGCACGCGATTGGTCCAGTCACCCTCCTGTCAGACTCGCAGCGAGCGCTCTGTGTAATAAACAAGCTAGCAGATCTCCTCAGAAAGATTATATATTATTAATTTGAGAAATGTCGCTGTCAAAAGCGTCATCAATCCCCCTGGCCATTGCACACTGAGTCCGCGTTTTTTTTTTGCGTATGCATTTTTTCGTATTGATTCGGTGGCTCCGAATTGTCAAAACACCATTCAAACTGCTTGCTACGGATGCGAAAAACTTACGATTGTTTTTATATAACGGATGAAAGTTTCGTAGTGTGCACGCGTGATTGACATAACGTGATTGACATGTCAATGAGTGTAGCTATTTATCTGCAAGGAGAATCCATTACAATGTGTTTGATTAACCCAATATTTAACTGTTGGTATCTCCATAATGAATTTGTTACGCTGTTATTGTCAACTAGCCTACACTAAGATGTGATTGCATAGACTAGCATTATTTGATCTCTGTTTCCTTGTCTCTCTGCCTCTCACTTTCTCTCTCTCTCTCTCTCTCTCTCTCTCACACACACACACACACCCTCTCTCTCAAGCAAAAATGTAGCACCTCTGTTCAATCTTTCTGATTTTAGTACATTTTTGTAAAAGGTAGGCCTACTGTTAAATTATTTATTAAAATAAAAACTTTAAAATAATTTGAGCTTCAGCCTGGTTTAATAGCATTTATATATTAATGTCTTTGGTCAAATTAAGCTGTAAAATAAAAAGTTTATCCCTTTAAATGTAATGGATTTTGAAAGATATCAACAAAAAACGGGCAAAAAACTTTAAAAGCGATTTTCTCAGGTTTTCAATTGGAAAAATAGGGCAGACGACCATAATTCAAATGTGTATATCTTTACAACCATTCAAGGTATGACTTTGACTAGGATATCAATTGAAAGCTTATAGTCTCCTCTTTCCATTAATACCAAAATCTCAATTTTTAAATTTGGGTCACTGTGACTCATTTTGCTGGATTAGGTCACATATAAGGAGAGAGGCTCGGGAGCGCGCATGCACGTCACAGGCATTTCCCGGTAAATCCGACCCGGAGACTTCACATAGAAATAGGAATACTGGCCTTCAGAGGTAAAAGCAAAACCCGACAAGTGGATCATTGTAATGTGTGATTACAACCCCTTCACACACAGGCAATAAAAAAAGGATTCATTTTAGAAGAAAAGTTCCATATAGCACCTTTAACTTCTGTGAAGATGCAGCACTGGCCCGTTTGGGCAAGTGACTAATCCGTCAACTGGCCCGAGTGTCTTTCACGCTGGGCCCGGGCCATCGGGCAATCCTTATTGTCGAGCCATGACTTATATTAAGCTTGAAGGATCGGTATCGGCTTATCATGATGATAAGAAATCGGTAGTCGGTATTGGCTGCAAAAATCCTGATTGGAGCATCCCTAATGGTGACTATAACTTTACTTGTGTACAGCACTTTGAATTGGAATAAGTCAAAGCATTGTGAAGAAGCATCAAAATGACGGGACGAGCAAGAGCGAGATCAAGAGGCAGAGGTCGTGGTCAAGAGCCTGCTGCTCCTGGCGCAGTGAGTTTATTTATAATTATTTGAATATGATAAAACTTTATTGAAAAACTTATTAATATTCTAATTCGTCTGCAGCAACCACCATTATCACAAGAGGCTGCAAAGCCTGTTATGCCCACTCCATCTGAAGGACAGCTGGTGGGCAGAGGGAGACAGAAACCTGCACCTGGAGCGATGTCTGAAGAAGGTAAGTGCATTAGAGCAACAAGTGGAAATATATACTATATACTCTGTACTATGCAATAGTATACTATAACATTCACGAACCCCATTTCTTGGTCTTTATCTTGTTTCTTCCTGTAGTGATGCTGCAGATTTCTGCAGGCTTTCAGCAGGTAAAGATAGGGGAGAGAGGTGGGCGCAGGCGGGATTTCCATGATTCTGGTGTCCACACTCGCCAGCTCATGGAACATGTGAAAGAGTCCAAATCAGGTAACACCAAAATGTTAATGAGCATTTTTGCCCTTTAGCAAATGTCAGGGTTGGGTATTGACACTTGTTTCTTGATTTGATTATGTTTAATAATTTCTATTTGATTATAAATAAGATTAAGTTAGATGAATCCTTTAAATGGGAATATTTCAGTTCAAATGACAAAATTATTTTTAAAAAAAATCTATCAAGTAAATGTTTTAAACTTTCTATTTATTTATCAAAGTATCCCTAAATCAAGTTTCCACAAAAGTATTCTGCAGGATCTTGTGCCACTGAAGACTGGAGTAATGATGCTGAAAATTCAGCTTGGCCAGCACAGGACAAGATTACATATTAAAATATAATAATATAGAAAACATTTTTTATATTTAACATTTTACAACAATAGTATTTTTACTGTATATTTGATCAAATAAATGCAGCCTTGATGAGCATAAGATAATTCTTTCAAAAGCAATAAAGTCTTAACTTTGAAATCTCTTCCCGTGACAGGTGTTTCAGGCACTGCCATTGAGCTGAGGGCCAATTTCATGCGCCTGCTTTCACGGCCTCTGTGGGCTCTGTATCAGTACCACGTGGACTACAAGCCACCTATGGAGTCCCGACGCCTGCGCTCGGCTTTGCTTTTCCAGCATGAGGAGACTCTGGGCAAAGCACATACCTTTGATGGAGCAATTCTCTTCCTCCCAAACAAACTGCACAATACTGTATGTTTTTACATCGTGCTCATTATTTAATTTAATTGCTTTTTGTGAGGCTTTGGAGTGTGGATTTGATTTGATGGTCAATGATAAGTTGATTTGCCTGTAGGAGACAGTCCTGTGCAGTGAGACCAGAAATGGAGAGAAGGTTGAGATCACTGTCACACTGACCAATGAACTCCCGCCATCCTCTCCTGTATGCCTGCAGTTTTACAACATCCTCTTCAGGAGGTAATCACAGAATGCACTCTGTTTGAAATACGGTTGTTATTTATGAGGTGTTTAAACTTCCAGTCCTGTTTATTTTGTGTTGTAGAATCCTGAGGATACTAAACATGCAGCAGATCGGACGCCATTACTACAATCCTGATGATCCATTCAACATTCCCCAGCACAGGTTATGAAAGTAGTGTGTTGTGTGTCTGTGCACACATAATTGCTGCTGGAGAATGATTGTACAATGGACCATATCTGTTTGCAGGTTGACAATTTGGCCTGGCTTTGTGACCACCATCCTTCAGTATGAGTCAAGCATCATGCTGTGCACCGATGTGAGCCACAAGGTTCTGCGCAGTGAGACGGTCCTTGACTTCATGTACAGTCTGAGGCAGCAGTGTGGAGACCAGCGATTCGCTGAAGCCTGCACAAAGGAGCTTGTGGGACTGATTATTCTGACCAAGTAAAATGAGCATACACTTACATATACTCTGCCAGTCAAAAGTCTCTTATCCTCACCATGGCTGCATTTATTTGATCAAAAATACAATATATCAGTCTTATTTTGAAATATTACAATTTTAAAACATAAATGTGAGTTTCTTGGATGGATTTATTACTTGAGAAAGTATTTAAATAATTTTCTAAAGTGGTTTAACATAGAATGTACAAACTAATGGTGTTTAATAAATTATTATTTATAGGTACAATAACAAGACATACAGGATCGATGACATTGCCTGGGATCATACCCCTAACAACACATTCAAGAAGGGAGATACAGAGATCTCGTTTAAGAACTACTTCAAAACGGTAGCTTAATAATATAGGTAATTATGTTGACACCAGTTGCAGAATTTTATGGTCATACTCAAGTCATTCTCCTCCTCTCCAGCAATATGGTCTGGACATAACAGATGGCAACCAGGCTCTTCTGGTTAGTCATGTGAAGAGACCTGGCCCTGCAGGACGGCCTCCACCGGGACCTGCCATGCTCGTTCCAGAGTTTTGCTACCTCACAGGTAAGTCTTTTGAAAACCCATTAAAATGGTTTGAAGAGTGCTGTTTTCTTTCATGTGTTGTATCTTGATGCACTGCATTAGCCATAAAAAAAGGACTCAACCTTTTTTAATAGCCAGCAGACCTGCCAACTCATACGCATTTTGTGTAGCGGATACGCTTTTTGACCTCAAAGTACGCTGGTACGATTTGTCACTCTAAACTACGCAAAAACCTGGTGACGCTTCTGTGCACGCGCAGAATATTTTATTACAAAAATCTTCAGTCCTGGAAAACCCTTGAAAACAGCCATATTTATGAAAAGGTACTTGAAAAGCGCTTGAATTATTGAAAGACAATATATGTGAAATTAGTGTTTAATTTTATCGATATAACAATATTTTCACACATAAGGAAAGCTGCAGGCCATCTGATTTAGATATAGAGCCATTTCGCATGGCTATGAGTGTGATATTGCTCATAAATAGCCAAGTATATGATACAGCTTTAATTTGGGGGGAGGGGTCAGTTTGAATAAGGAAAACGATATCTTTGTCATAATGACCTTTCAATGGTTAAAGTTACCACAGTAAATGCATCTGCTGCACTTTATTTGTACCATTTTGTGTTATTGGTTTATTTTTGTTTATCTATTTACAGGGTTCCCGCGGATCCTTAAAAAGTCTTAAATTAGATTTTTAAAATTTAAGGCCATAAAAAGTCTTATAAAGTCTTATTTTTACTTATGAAAGGTCTTAAATTTTAGATGACACTTTGACTTAGACATATCTAAAATATTTCCAAATTAAAACTATCTAATTAGCGTACGTATTTTTATTTATTTATTATTCTATCTTTGTGGATTTGCTAGTTCACGTGACATTTCGCGTCACTCGCGAGTCGCCGCAGCATAACTGTCTCCTGCACGCGAGAGGAGAGAAAGAGAAGAAAGGTCGTAAATGTCAGTTCAGTTGTAAGTTCATTCTTTATGTGCGTATGGTGTGCGATGTCTATTGTCTATTATGATATTGTAATCATTGTTTTAACGATGTACGAGGCACTGCGAGCTGACATCGCATTTGTCTCGTGCTTTCACTGCGTGATGTGTGCAGTGTAACTGTTATGTCCCCAAATTAGTTTTTGACTTATATTTATATCATATTATGTTCTTATATTAGAATATCACATCAGCAAGAGTGCCGTTTTCCCATGCACAATTCCAAGTGTGATATTTATGTTGTACAACAGTTAAATTAACAATAAGTTAACATTGAGTTACTTTTTAGACACAATATTGTCAATATTGTTTGTTTTCCCTTTATTTCGCCGACTATAATTTCATAATGAAACCGTAGCAGAGTCTCAATGCAACCGACAGCGATGATTTCTTGACTGAAATCCGCGTTTTGAACGAATCACTTGCTTCTTTCCCGAATGAATCAGCCGTTTGAACGAATCGGTTGAATGAATGACTCCCTCAACTCACTTATTAAGACAGTGATTTGCCGCTGCGGTTTCATATTTAAAGTACCCTTTAAATAAAATGTTAAAATTAGAAATCATTTCATATTTAAATATTGCATATTGATTTAAAAATATATATCTCATAGCTTTATTTATGCAGTTGTAAATGGAGTGTAAATATATTAATGCCGCTTCTGTCACCTCTGCACTGCAAAGATGGATTTTGATTGAATGATCTAATTTGACTGGTAACAGTGGTACTGTATGATTATTATATAATTAAGTATTATTGTATAATTACTGTATAATTTAATTTGAATGATAGTATTTGACATTAAAGGTGATGCATAACTCTAAATAAGTTTAGAAAAAATGTCCATAGGTGAAAATGCCCCTGAAAAAATCAATTTAAGGTGGCAAATATTGCCCCTTAATTAAAATATTAATTTCTGTCACTGCTGTGAACTGACCACTGCATAGAATATGAAATATATGAATATCTTCGTGAGTCAGCTGTCAACAACAGACCTAAACCAGCCATGGCACCAGCACAAAAACACAATCAGTAAAATATCATCTAATTATTATCAACAAAACGTTGAAAATATCAAGATATTTTTTTGTCAATACTGCACAGCCCTAATGTATGGTATTAATTTTGATTTCTTCAGGTCTTAAAAAGGTCTTAAAAAGCCTTAAATTTGACTTTCAAAAGTGTGCAGGAACCCTGATTTAAATTTTTAGAATTTGAAAGATAATAAAGAAATTGTTTGATAAGTGGGATCTCTGATTTAAAGGACAACTCCGGTGCAAAATGAACCTCGGGTGTAATAACACATTGGTACAGACTAAATCGTTCCCTGAGATTTGTTTTCATGATAATCGAATGTAAAGAGTTTTATCTCTAAAAACAGTTTAGCTTATAACGCTAGTATATTGGGCTTCGAGTAAGCAAAAAGAGATCGCTAGTTAATACCATTAACAAGGCTCAAATTAGCCCCACACTAACACGGCAGCATAATGAGTGTCCTTACACGCAAACCGAAGCATTGAGAACTTTGTAAGTGTATAGACAGTTTAATAAGAAGATACTTTACACCAGGGGTCTCCAACACGTCGCTCGCGAGCTACCAGTAGCTCGTGGCCTGATTGGAGGTAGCTCGCCAAGGGGCCGTTCACATATCGCGTCTTTTGCGCGCTCAAGTTCGTTATTTCAAATGTAGGCGCTTGGGCAAGCGCGCTCATAATTGAAGCGACGCGCTCATTTTTTCCAGGCACAACTTTTTTCAGAATGCCGCGAGCAAGTCATGTGACAAGATCCAACCAATCAGCTTCACCCTTTCCGTAACAACATTGAAAGCTCAGTCAACATGAAGGATGGGGGTGCACCCAAACACTACGGGTGTTTTCTGTTCTCCGTAAATAAATCGTGTAGCAGAGCTACAGCAAGCGTTTTTCGGTGGTGGAAATCCATTAGCTACTAAAACTTCTTTGTCGATGTGGAGAGCATACGGTTGCATTGCAACGACAGACGCCACGGGAAAATCGGACCGAATTTTACTATTAATAATAAAAGATAAGCTAATGTGCATTGTAAATGTCCGTAATTTATCTTTTTTTACTCATTCTTTTTTATAAAAATGATTTAAAGGCTGAAATATGTGAGGTTTATCTTTTTATAAAACCTTTTTTGTCAAAACTTTATTTGAACTTGTACATGTTAGTAGATAACATGTTGCAAGACACTCCTTTAAAATCTGGCCATCATTTTTAATGTTATTATTTTAATGTTTATTTAAACAAAAAGAGCATATTGATGCTATTTTTTTGTTATTTGCTGGTTTTCGACCTATAACTTGGTGAATTGATTTTATTTAGTAGTATTTTTTTAACAGGATTCTGTGATAACTGTGATCATTTTGGTCACTATAATCATGAAAGGAAATTTTCATGCCATTTCATCTCTAGTTATGATGCACTATAAAATCAACTATAATTATGTGTTTAAGGTATAATATGCAAAGTACAATTTTCTATAAAAAAATTAATCTCTGATTCTGTTCTTTTCTCTGACATTTAAGAGTGGCATATAGGCCTACAAAAACTCTTTTAGGTCTAAAACAGTTTGGATAGCTGTTAATATGAGTTATGAGACATTATTTAGGAGATTTAAGTACTGTATTACATGAGTAGCTCTCAGCCACTTTCATTTTTAAAAAGTAGCTCTCAAATGAAAAAAGGTTGGAGACTCCTGCTTTACACAGACAGTACAGTTAGCGCATACAGACAGCAGCCATCTTGGAAAACAGTCTCGATCAGTCAAACCACGAACACGGTGATACGTGAGCTGAACTGTGACTTGGAATCTCATATGCTCCGTTGTTTCCGGAAGAAAGCACTGAGCGCATAAGAGAAGCACTGAACGCAACAGAGAAAATAAAAAAATAAATATAATTTATCTTATCTTCAATATCTACACGTACTGTTCGCTCACCTTCGTGGTTCGATTGATCGAGACTGTTTTCCAAGATGGCTGCTGTCTGTATGCGCTAACTGTACTGTCTGTGTAAAGTATCTTCTTATTAAACTGTCTATACACTTACAAAGTTCTCAATGCTTCGGTTTGCGTGTAAGGACACTCATTATGCTGCCGTGTTAGTGTGGGGCTAATTTGAGCCTTGTTAATGGTATTAACTAGCGATCTCTTTTTGCTTACTCGATGCCCAATATACTAGCGTTATAAGCTAAACTGTTTTTAGAGATAAAACTCTTTATATTCGATTATCATGAAAACAAATCTCAGGGAACGATTTAGTCTGTACCAATGTGTTATTACACCCGAGGTTCATTTTGCGCCGGAGTTGTCCTTTAAGTCAATATAAACCAAAAAAGTAGTGCTTAAAAAGTCCTGGAATTTCAGTTTACAGTATCTGTACGAATCCTGTGCAACTAAAGACACTGACAAAACCTTCTATGCATTCGAATATGCCTACTACATGTCTATATAGTAGGAAAAAATGAGTAGTATGTCTTAACTAAAGTCAAAGTATTCATACAATAGTAAGCAAAAAGCCCTCAAATGACGTACTACTTCTGCTGAGATTCTGAAGTGCTCATCTAAATCTTTACTATCCCACGAGACAACGAGAGAGGATTTGTGAAGTGCAGTGAAGCAGTGCGACCCTATAAGTCATGTGACAACATGGCTAATGCAGTGCATCCATATATCATTCATACTATATAGTAGGGCTGGGCGATATGGCCCAAAAAAATTATCACGATATTTTTTTTTTTTTATCAGTCGATATCGATAATTATCACTATAAATGTCAAATCTTTATTTCTTTCAAGTTTAAAGGCAGATTTTTGCTCCTAAGTGAAAGTTGTATAAACCAGAGCGTTGTGGTTTTAAAAATCTGAGGTAGAACATTTAAACATTTGTCATTTTTCCTTAACAAAATAAATATCTGAAAAGAAAAATATTTCTTCAGCACAGTTTGCACTGCAGTGCAGGCTGCAATATTCAAATTACATGTTTTGTCTCGAAATGCATATTTGACAGTGAGTTGACAGTAAATCTACATCCTAACTCAAGCTAATGCTGCTATGTTAAATTTATGTTCATTAACAAAAACAGTAACATCTGTTTTTTTTATTTTAAGGACCACATTTTTATTTGGTAAAATTTAATATTCAGACTGTTTGAGTTTTATTAAAATTAACCATTGGTCATCCAGTATCATGCATTTAGATCATGATAACCACAGATAAAGCCAGGTACAGCCTATAGCACCTCACTATCATGGCAAAATGTAACTTTATGGTTTCTATGGTATTTGTATGAAAAACAGTAGCCGAACAGTTAAATACATTATTAAATACTGTAATTATATTCCATTAGTCATTTAATACATTGTCTACATTAATAATATTATACAATTCAATATGTATATCCCACATTTCATGGTGCAGTTAATATTACTAGGCTAACGTTACAGTAAATCCATGGTAGGCTAAATGGATTCAGTATCAATTCAGATTCTGAATTCGCTGCGCAGTGTTTCTCCTGTTTGTCAGCGGTGTTTCATCTGCCTTTAAACTGATTAAACTGGACATTTGTGTTCTTCGCTGAACTTAAGCGCTTCTCACTGGATCTCGTGAGCGAGACGACCAGAGTAAACGCGTCTGCTCTAGTGAGCTCGCGCTGCCGTTTGGACTTTGAGCCGAGCGGATAAACAGTCCGTGTGGCGCGCGGTTCAAATGAGTTTCGTTCCGTTCCGCTTTTCGCGCATACACATTATCGAACATTTATCGACCTCTTGATATCGTTTTATCGAGAAAAATTATATCGCGATAATTATCGTTATCGTTTTATCGCCCAGCCCTACTATATAGAACAGGGGTTTTCAAACTTTTTGTGTGTGTGGACCACTATTTGTAATCAAGAATTTTCGCGGACCACCTCATAATACACATAATAAAATATGTCTACACAGTCCTACCTGAATTAATCCACACCTCTAAATAGGCTAACTAGCACTAAAACTATAACTGGTCATCACATCAGTACAACAAGCTTGTTAAAGACAGTTTACTGCACACAACGGCTGCCACATATTTTATTTATTTATTTACTCAAGCGCCCGAGGGCATAATCAGGTTCATTTGAACAACAGGCTTATTTCCATAGCAATGGAGTATAAAATATATACAGTAATAAGAACACTTGGATATAGATATAGTCAGCATTTCAAAACCTTTGGCGATTTTAGGGGATTATTAACGTAAGTCCTCAAAGTAGGCTTGAGTTTGTCCACTTAACAGCACATCCGCAAAACATTTCAGAAACACGAGATCAAGAAACTAACATTAACTGGAAATTAAAATAATAACAGGCCTTATCATTCCATTTATAAACATTTCGTTTCATATAGGCCTAAACTGCCTATAAAGGCTATGCATGTGATGTGATAATGAGAACATATTTGCCTCTGCCCTATACACATTTAATGAAAACACATAAGCCTAACGTTACTCCAGGTTAAAAATAAAAGAAAGTTGGCAAAAGGAAAAGCCATTGGAGTCTATTTGCCAGCCCAATATGAACGTAATATCCTCCTTTGTCACCCTCCACATCTTTCCCTTCCTCTTTGTATCGTCTGTCTAATACAGGCCTATATTAAAAACAAACAACTAAATAAATGCTCACCTAACCTGTTGCTAATTGCTATCCACCGATCCATGTTGTGGTTCTGACGACACTGAGCTTGAACGTCACGGCCGAGCGCCACTAGCCTATTTTAGTAATCACACAATAACTTGACAATTTAATTTACATTTTATATAAATATAGGCCTACATATTCTTTTTACTTTTTTATGGGAATTTCCTGGTAAAATGAAGGTAAAAAAATATTATTTTATATTTTATTTTGCCTTTTCACGGACCACCTGCAGTACCCTCACGGACCACAGTTTGGGAATCGCTGATATAGAACATACTATTTTAATGTTTGAAGGTTTGCTCCTTATCAAATTTCAGTACCTACTCAGTGAATGATTTGCTTCTTGCTTAAAGTCAATGGCAGGAGGTATTTATATTAAGGTGAAGGGGACATTTTTGTTTTAGAGACTGTTTTATTGTGCAAAATTTGTATACACCTCAAGGTGAAAGGTGATGACCTCAAAACTAATAGACAGAGTAAAATATGAAATGGAACGCATTTAAGTTTTGTTTTCAAGTGTAAACAACTCCCTGACCTGTATGCATTTGTTTGCCTTGAAGGTTTGACAGATAAGATGCGAGCCGATTTCAACATCATGAAGGATCTTGCCTCGCACACAAGGCTGAGTCCTGAACAGAGAGAGAGCAGAATTAACCGCTTAATCTCCAACATCGACAGGTTCTATTCCAGCCCTATTGATGTGTTGTGTTTCTTAATTATGAGTATTTGTATATTTTATCGGCTCTCACATACAATAGAAACGGAGACGTGCAGAATGAACTTACTACTTGGGGTCTGAGCTTTGAGAACCGACTGCTGAGTCTGAATGGAAGAGTTCTGCCCTCTGAGAGGATTATACAGGGAAGCAGAGCGGTAAGACAGACAGCTTTACATCACAAAAGGCATTCATAATGTAACCGTTTCATTGAAGGCTTGATTATTTTCGTTCGTTTTCATCTCTTAGTACGAGTATAATCCATGGGCAGCTGACTGGTCTAAAGAGATGAGAGGTCTCCCTCTGATAAGCTGCATGAATCTGGACAACTGGCTGATGTTCTACACACGCCGGAATGCAGAAGTTGCCCAATCTCTGCTTCAAACTCTCAACAGAGTGGCTGGGCCCATGGGAATCCGCATGCAGAGGGCTATCATGTGAGTTGTGTGAAACTTTGAATGTCCAAAACTTTCCATTCAATTTTCATGTTAATAAGCATTTTCTGCACAAGCAGGATTGAGTACGAGGATCGTCAGGAATCTCTCCTAAGAGCCCTGCAGCAGAACGTAGCACGTGAAACACAGATGGTGAGACAAGCAATCACATTCATGCACAATTTGAATATCCAGACTGAGCTTTCGTTTCAAACTGCTTCTGTGCCTTTCATAGGTGGTTGTGATCCTGCCTACCAATCGAAAGGACAAGTATGACACTGTGAAAAAGTTCCTGTGTGTGGACTGCCCCACTCCCAGCCAGTGTGTGGTGTCTCGCACCATCAGCAAACCTCAAGCGCTTATGACTGTGGCCACCAAGATTGCTTTACAGATGAACTGCAAAATGGGAGGAGAGCTGTGGAGTGTAGAAATCCCCGTAAGACTCTCAAATGACTGTGGCTCTGTTGGCTTGTGCCAAGTGTCCGATTCCAAATTTAATCTTTGTCTTTCAGCTCAAGCAGCTGATGATCGTAGGCATAGACTGTTACCATGACACCGCTGCTGGGAAGAGATCCATCGGAGCACTGGTGGCCAGTCTGAACCATGGCATGTCCAGGTAATATAATGATTTGAAGACGGCACTGTTTAAACAAATATAAGCCTAAAATTCTTTGCTAAACATTTATGTTGGACTGGTTAGGCAATAAAACAAAATAAGTCTTACTGTGAATGTTTTTCAAGAAACTGCAAAACATTTGAAGTAGATGAAAGTTGAGTTTTGACTTAGAAGGGAACCTTGCATTTTGGTTATTGGTGGACTAGGTAGTCAATAGGATTTCTTAGTGAAAATAATGCTGTTGTCATTAATTCTGCAATTAAAAGATTTCAGAATCAGATTATGTGGTTGTACATAATTGTTGTATAATGTCGCTTTCGTTATTTTTTCAGGTGGTTCTCCAAGTGTGTCTTGCAAAACCGTGGTCAGGAGATCATCGATGCACTGAAAGGGTCGTTGCAAGGTGTGAAATGTTGCAAAATCATAATTATGTAATTAACTCACTGTGTCATTCCAAATCTCTGACCTTAAATGAGTCCGATGGGTTTTCGGTTAAATGCCTGAAATAAGGTTTATGGTTAACACAATCTCAAGATATTAAATGCAACAAAATAGATCAGTAATACCCCAGTGATTTTTTTAATTCATTCATTCATTTTTACTTCTGAAAAAGGCAGTTGCTAACAAGTAGTTGAATGGCACTACAGAGTTTGTTGGTGACATTAAACGTCATCCCGTAGAAAAGTAAAACTCCAATACTCGCTAGTCTACTTTCAAAGCCTTGTTTATGGTCTTGCAAACTATTATCTCAAACATTCCAACTTGTAGATTTTAAATGAGATTGAAAGAGTTGTCGGAAACTTACTGGGGGTTCATTTCTAAAATCTATATTCATAGACTAACTTAAGCTTTATACTTCCACCTATTTTATTTAGGCTTTAAAATTCATAAAAGTTATTAATTTGTGAAGATTATCTTGAACAAAATGCAAGAATTCATTTACTTGGTCACATCTTACATTCTGCAATAATCCAAAAGTCATTGGAAAAATCCCCTGGTCAAGGAAACCAGGGTGATGTGAAATTGCAATAGGGATGCACGATATTGGATTTTGGCCGATATTCGATATGCCGATATTTTCAAACTAATTTTGCCCGATACCGATATATTTGTATTTTTTTTAAGTGCAAAAAAAGCTTATTAAAGCTTCTATTAAAGTTCTCAGTCAAGAGCAGTGAGTGATTTCCTCTTTGTGTTTTGTTGTTTTATTAACATTAAATAGTTAGATAGTTCTCCCAAAAATTTAAATTGTCATCATTTACTCTCTCTCAAGTTGTTTTAAACCCAAATAAATTTCTTTCTTCTGTTGAAAATGAAAATGAAAGTTATTTGGAAGAATGTGGCTAACCAAACAGTTGCTGTACTCATGTGTATAGTATATATTTAGTATATAAAATATATATATATATAAATATTAGGGCTGGGGTAAACGATTATTAATTAAACGATTAGTCTGTCGATTATTTTATCGATTAGTCGACTAATCTAACGACTAATTGAACGATTCTTTTTTGTAACATGGAAATTGCAGGAGTGCACATTCAATGCACAACAATTTTGATCTGGTTCTTACAGAGTATCTACACTGTAAAATGTTTGGTAGGCTACTCAAATGAGCCCTATCACACTTGGATGTGGTGCTCATTTTAATGTTTTCAGTGCTCATAAAAAACATCCGGACTGATTTTATCGGTTTTGTTGACGGGGGTGGGGTTTACATGCGCTTCATAAGGCACACACGCACATTTGCACACACACGCGCAAGGTCTCTCGCTCTCTCCCTCGCTGCGCGCGCTACACGGTTTGGAGCTCGCGAGCTCTAGATTCCGGGAGATTTTAACTAATTTGCGGTCATCAGGGAGCCGCTATCACTATGCGGGAGACTTGGGATGTCAACTCCATTTGACAAAGAGCGCAAATAACGACACCTTTACGTTTGGGACTAAATTTGAAGTATTCCCATACCTTCGATGATTTAGTGCGAGCTGGGGTTTTTTAGGACTTTTTCTTTTGTTGGGACTTTTGCATGGCTTTGTTGTGAATTCTGTGAAGAGGTTGCTGTTTCGTCCTCGATTCTGCAATGTTTCGGTCTCCCACGTGTGTGTGGCGAGCTGTACCGCCGGGAACGGTGCAAAAAAATAAATACATAAATAAATAAAGAAGCGTCGATAAAAAAATATGACGTCGACGAATTTTTGACGTCGAAGCGTCGACGTCATCGACGCGCCGCTACAGGCCTAATAAATATACCATAGTATGTTTAAGCACAAGAAAGAAATTAATACAGGTTTGGAACAACAGAGTGAGTAAACAATGACAGAATTTTTATTTCTGGGTGCAGTATCTCTTTAAGGACAAGTGGCAGCATATTATAGATACTGTCTCTTTAAGAACTGCACGCGACGCGTCTAATATACACACATTTGACAAGCAGATTTTCTCTGTTTGTTTTCACTTTAGACATAACCAACTTTGTTTATGTAAACCTTGTGTGTATTTGACAGTATTAGCGCAATAAGACTCGAAAGATAACTTAATCCAGTATGCAGGCGCTGTGACAGGCTTTTAGTTCCTCTAAGCGTCGGGTGCACAAGCTCAGAAAAGCGCATGTTAGAACAGCGCATCAGCGCGTGAATGACATGTTTAACTAGCAAGACTTTGACGCACATGCAAATAATGAACTTTTGGGAATTGCAGTGTACCGTGAGTGTAACTCCTACCTCTGCGTTTACATGTGATGTGAATGTACGTCGCGTTGTACAGTATGTTGAGATGGAGCCAGAATTGAACTGATAGAATGCACGACTATTATTTTTCTTCAAAAGCAGATCGTGGAGACATTTTAATCGTCCACGATCAAAAACCGTGAGACGCACACCCCTAGTTGGTAGTTTAAGTTGCTGGCGCTCATGCTTCGTTCACGGTCGTCACGTGCGCATAGGAAACACGCCACCCTATCGGCAAGGCTCATCAGCAGAAATATCCATATCGGCCGATGCCGATGATGGTCATTTTAGGCTTTTATCGGCCGATACCGATGTTGTCCCGATATCATCGTGCATCCCTAAATTGCAAGTTTGCTTACAAAATACATCATCCCTATACTGAAGCTGTGTGTCTCTTTAGCTGCTCTGAAGGCCTATCTGAAGTACAACAATTCCCTGCCCTCACGCATCATCGTGTACCGAGATGGAGTTGGAGATGGCATGCTGCAGAGCGTGGTGGACTACGAAGTTCCTCAGATCATGCAGTCCATCAAGACCATGGGGCAAGATTACGAGTAAGCCACACTTATGAAGACACAGTCACATGTTGAATTCCCTTGGTTGTATTCACATTTTTGTTTTGCATACAGGCCCAAGCTGACAGTTGTGGTGGTGAAAAAGCGCATCAGCTCCAGGTTCTTTGCCCGGATTGATGGCAAAATTGCCAACCCTCCTCCTGGAACAGTCATTGACACTGAGGTCACTCGTCCAGAGTGGTGTGTATAGATTCTACCCTCATCATGATAATGGAATTTATAACTTCAATACATACCTTGAAAAATATTGATATTCGATACCACAGGGAAAAACAGACATATATACTACCATACAGATTTAATTTTCGATTATTTGGGTTTGTTCTGAATGGACACATGGTATTACATTTATTTGTGTAGATCATAAAGGTTTTAAAAAGTCTTGCAGTTGATTTTAAAAACTCTCCAGATAGCCTAATATTAGCCATTTTGTATTAGTACAATAATGCAAACCGCTCATCTCAATGCTACGTCTGCTTTCAGGTATGATTTCTTCATAGTAAGTCAGGCTGTGCGCTTTGGTTGTGTCTCACCTACGCACTACAATGTGATATTTGACAACAGTGGCCTCAAGCCAGATCACATGCAGAGACTCACCTACAAACTCTGCCACATGTACTACAACTGGCAGGTAACAACCAATGTAGATCAGTATCACACGACTGCTAATAGCTCTACAATACTATGTGCCGTCTCATGTATTCTTCATGGCTCTTTCTTCTTTCTCTGAAGGGGATTGTCCGAGTGCCTGCACCATGTCAGTATGCCCACAAACTGGCCTTCCTGGTTGGTCAGAGCATTCACAAGGAGCCCAACATGAACCTGGATGACTTCTTGTACTACCTGTAACCTGCTTAAGTGATAAGATGGAGGGTCTGGAAGAATAAATGGGCCATTCTTAGTTTCTTTTTCAGGTTGAATCAGTTGAGTGAAAAAGTATATTATCAGAAGAACTTTTGTTTATATTTCTACATATAATGTCTTGAGAGAGAAGCAGGTACAAAAATGTTTGCAAGGGAGAAATGCTTATGGTCCTACTTTTTTCTTTTAAATATTCCCTTCTATTGTTCTATGTCTTGTGAAGATCCCAGTTTTATGTAAAGGGATCGTTCAAATCGCAGATTTCTTGGATTGCGTTTAGAGCCACCGTTAATTGAAATAAACATTTATTTTCAAGTTTCCAATATAAAAGATTAATAATTACATTTGTAGTGAATGTCTAGCGTTCATGTACTGCATTCATTCATGTATGTTTTTCATGTTTCACACAATTAAATGGTAGCGATTGTAGATTGAAAACAAACAAGGAAAGAAAATTTCCATGTAAATCAGAAGTATTGGAAAGAGCTAAAGATGAGAAATAAAGTATTGATGTGTTGTTGAAATGCGTCAGGACTGAGTCTTATTGCAAGGCGATTTGAAAATAATGAAGCTCAAATTCCCATGGCTTGCTTGTTTGTTAAAACTTAAATTAATTAAATAATTCAGACCATGGGGTACAGTGCCAGTGTTTTGATTAAATGATGGCATTAATAAGAATTAAATATATTTTTTCTGAAAACTTGGGCATGAGAATGAATTTTCACTAACGGTTTACTATCAGAGGGTAGTCTCGCGTAGCCAGACCTTCAGACTGACGGCTGAAGGTCTGGAACTCATAGCAGCTTTCTTTGGCCAAGGCCCGCCCATAAGGCCGTTTGACCGACATGTTAAACAACCAATTACAGTTCGTTTCGTTCAGCGTCACGTGGAAATGTCCCCACAACAACAGACCGGCGTGCAACAAGTCAGTCAGCATAGAAAATCAAAGGAGGAGAAGAAAACCGAACACAATACTGAATCGGCCAGCTGCGATGTCAGCGTCTGTTGTTTCATGTTTGCCCGCAAACGCGGCTGATATCCCCTTCACAGTTAGGTATTTCACTTGATCTTCCATAATAGATCATAGCTGTCAACATTGAATATAAGGGAGATTTCCCGGAATCCATCCCCAAAATAAGGGAATTTTTTTACACGATTCTTACCCACCACAAACTTTAAAAATAAAGCACTAATCATTAAAAGTCTAAAGAGTTTATAACTACAAATGAGTGAAAGAGACAGTGTGTGTGTGTATTAGAGAAAGTGTGTCATTTTTTATCAGAGAATGTTTAAATACTAATATCAGCTTACGAGGGAAACGGTACGTGGTGCTTCGGGGGCTGCTGGAGATGATTAGGGAGAGGTCTGTGCTTCTTTACCGATCAAAGCGCGCGCTGACACGGAGTATAATTGTTTATACTTGACGCGTCCGCACGAGCGCGGCAAAGATTACGCGTTGGGTGCGCAAGACCGGCAAGACCCCATTTCGCTTGGCTGTGTTCACAGCTTTTTTTGTAACAGCGCGCGCGGCGCCGCATCCGAGGATGAACGACTTCAAGCCGAATCTGCCCGAGCATGTCTCACACAATGAGAGCGTAAAAATACGGGATATTTTACGGGAAAATAATAAAACGGGAAGACAGCGGGAAAAGAGCTAAAATACGTGAGAAACCCGGAAAAAACGGGAGGGTTGACAGATAGGAGGGGACACACAACTAGTAAAGTTGGATCTGCTGGGAATCCTTATAAATGCTGACAAAGGGTCGGCCAGGCTTGGAAAATAATACTCTTCCCAAATCCCGTCGGCAAACAGGCTAAAATATCTCTTTTTGTCTCCACTAAGTGCCTCAAACAAAACTCCTGGACATCTCTTAAAGAGTCTACGCCGTGAACCTCGCATACTTTTGAGAATCCTACGTTTAGCTGATCTTGATAAATGCTCATTGTCACTCATGTAAACACAACAGTTTTTCTTCCGCAATCACACGTCTGCGCTTTGTTTCCCGGCAGACCGAAAATAAACGCGACACTCGCACCCCCCGGAAATCCGATAAAATTCAACCAATCAGATGACGACTTCGACATTCCTGAAGTGTTTCCAGTTAAGTGTACCATATGCATCAGACGTTTAGCCAACGTTCCGTGGGCGTGACGTCTGAGGCTGAGACTAATCAGAGGGTAACTGCAGGCGGCGCATGGAGGCTCGGTAAACCCAATCCTCCATTGAGAACATAGAAATGTTATTTATCTTACAATTTGTATTTTAATGCAGACAACTCATTCAAAGTAATTTATTAAATGTAATATCTAGGAGGAATGAGCCATGACACAAGTTCATTGACCATATAGCAGCTAAAGGCTAAATTAGTGAACGATGATGGTTTTGATTGGGCCTTTTTGCCTAGCGCTGAGGAAAATAACAGACACCACGTGATGGCGTCATACACGGGCTACTTCGTCGGGACTAAAATTTACACCTGAAGAATGACAATGAGAATCGTAATATGCATTTAATTGAAAAACACAGCAAACAGTGATGAAACAATAAATAGAAAAAAATACCATGACAATGCATTGCTGTTTCTATGGTTACTACCACCCTGCTTCGTGTAGCTGCGCCCATAATCTAATCTAAACGCGCAGAGAAGAAGAACAAACAAACACGTACCACTTCATAACTGGATTAACTTTGAACGTGAAAGTCTTATTTATACGCGTTTATTGACAAGTAACTAACTCCAACGGTTAATTCATGTACTTTCTCCGATACACTTTAGTTTGTCGTGATCTAGTCAGGACTTGCAATGAATTTTAACGCGCGCGGATCGCGACTGATGTGTACAATCAACAGAGGATAAACGACGGATCAACGACATTGTTATGAGGGACAGACTGGCTGATTTAAATGCGGTAAGTGATTGATAATTAACCAGTTAGACTAACTAATTGTTAACAGAGTCAATACTATATGGAGATTCATGTGTTTTAGTAACACAAGTACCACATTTTACGTAAAACTACACGTTTGGGGGGTAAATTTCTTCATTGTTTATGTCTTCTTCTCATGTTTGTGTCACTGTATCGGTCTTCCTCTTCCTCCGTGCTCATCTGTGTCTTTGTGTGCTATGTTTTAGGGCAGGCAAAGTGCCAGCGAAGATGTGGGTGTCATTGTGTCCATGGAGAGAGATGACTTCATGCAGAACTTTTTCAGAAAGGTACAGTTATTCATCTTTATGATAGGTGCTCCTCATCTGTACACTGTATATTTGTTAAGGACAGTAAAATGCATTACAAATCGGGCCGAATGAATCGATTATTATAATCAGATAATTGTTTACATGTTGTTGTTCATCAACAATAAATGCCAGATATTTCAATGTTATTTTAGTATTGGTCATTTCATAATATTTTAAATTAACTTTTATTTCTATATTTTCATTTATTAATGCAATCTTTTTGTTTTATTAAAGCTTTATTTCAGTAACACTGTACAATAAGGTTGCATTAGTTACTACTTTAGTTAACATGAATTATGAATGAACAATACTTCAGCATACTCTATAGCATTTATTTAATGTTAATTTCAACATAATACAAAAGTTATATATGTTAACATTATTTAATGCACTGTGAACTAACATGAGCAAACCATGAATGACTGTATTTTTATTAACTAACAGTAACAAAGATGAATAAATACTGTAACAAATGTTTTGTTCATTGTTAGTTCATGTTAGTTAATACATTAACATTAGCCAATAAAACATTGTAAAGTGTTACCTTTATTTCAGTTATCAAAAAACTGTTTTTAATAGTTTTATAGTTAGTTAGTTTAGTAGTTTAAGTAGTTAGTTTTAATAGTTTAGTTTTGGTTAACAAAACACCACTGAAATCTACACTGTTTAAATGTATAAATTAACTAATTAATTAAAAAAAACATTTAAAAAAAAAAGGAAATGCTGAAAATGCTGTAGGGAAAACATTTCTCACATGCGCAGATCGTGTTACAATTTATTTTGATAGTCCACTTTAGACATTCTACTAAGTTACAATAAGTAACTTGTAACTACGTCAAATACCAGTCATTACAGTATTAGTAGCTAGACTTAATATCTGCTAAACAGTTTATTTTGATGGTCCCTCAACAGACATTCTACTGACTATAGTAACTTTGCATGTACATGACAATTTATTCTACTAACCCTGACCCTAACTTAACAGTCTACTATTAATACTCTAATTATAGTTAGTAGAAAGTGGACTGTCAAAATAAACAGCAACCTTAAATTGTACCACTGATATTAGGTATCACACCATCATTTATAAGAAAGAAATTTAATTACAAATATGTTGCAACATGCATACCCAGCAGTTCACGTCTAGAAGCCCACTGAAGTGCACACTAAATCATTAATGAAACCTTAAGGTTTGTGTTGAACTATGTTTTGCTTTATTTCAGGTGGAGGAGGTCAGAGGTGTCATCGATAAGATCTCCTCCCTAGTGAATGAGGTGAAGAAGAAACATAGTGTGATCCTTTCAGCCCCCAACCCTGATGAAAGTAAGTCACCCCTACTCAAAGACTGTGAAATTTGAGCAAATGTTACAATGAAACAAGTAAGAACTAGTTTCTGAATGGTCAGGTTAAATAGTTTTTAATGACAAGGTGGTCAGGTTAGCAGATCGAAGGTTCAAACCCTTTCAGGGGTGATTTATGAACTGTCACCATTGAGCCTTTGAGCAAGGCACTTAACCCCAGTTTGCTTAGCAGTAAGAACACACAGAACACATTTTTCCATTCCACTGCACTACGTTTCCTTTACTTTCCCTTGTCCATGTAAACGTAGCTACTGTTTGAACCACAAAATGTGTGAATGGCCCTTACCAAGCTGTGCCGAACCGTACCATGCAGTGGAAAAGTGCTGTGAAAGGCTTTCACACTATATTTAACTCTGGTTTTATCTTTTTTTACCTAGTTAAGCAATGTTTAACCTTTATCTTTTTAAAAGTGGTCTAAAATGGGTTAATATGACACTGAGGCTAGTTTACACTGATCGTTATTTGAGTTGTAAATTTGTCCAAGTTACTCACTTCAGTTTAGCTTTCAGCCTCTTTGTTGTATTACCCAATAAATGACAATGACTTTGCGTCACACTGCTGTTGTCTTTGTCTGAACCCACTTTCAATTTTCTGTCATTCATATCCACACACACGCGCGCGCACACACACAAACAAAAAAAACAAAAAACAACTGATGCTCAGGGTTCGGTCACGAACAAAGAAACGATTTTATGGCCCTCGTCCCAGCGGCACATAGCCTTATAACAGGGAAAGACCATGGGCTTCCTCTGCCGGAAATATCACATCACATTACTCTATGCAAGTACACCTCTGGATCAGCCAGGAAAATGCTGTAGGGAAAACATTTCTCACATGCGCAGATTGCGCACACATACTTATGGGTAATTTAACCTTTTGTAATGTCTTGGCAGTGTTCATTGGGGTCAATGGCGTCTGCTCACAATGACCAAATGTATAGAAAATAATAAAAAAATGGGGAAAAGAGACCCTTTAAAATGTACTATAGGGAGTCAAGTTTGGGCATGCAAGGAATCATGGATCCATTCTTAATTTTAAGTCAGTGTTGAGGTAAGTTTTGGCTGTTATTTGCAGGGCATGTATAGGACATGCAGGCAGGAATGTGAGATTGAGATAAAGTCGACATCTGCAAGGGTGTGAGTGTTTCTGCAACGAACTCTATGCTCGGTTTTTCTTCCACACACACACACGTGTTATATCTCGGAGATGTATCAAGTTGATAGTAAAATTGAATGATCTGTTTGAGGATTGTGATATTTCACCTATTTAAGAGTGAGCATACCCATCTACAGTCACTTTTCATCTGTGTACCTGCCTGCATTTTATATTCTTCTCATATATAACTCACCACAGTGCTTTTCCAACATTTCACATAATGTAACTAGTGCTGTACAGGAGCATATTTTTTCCAAACCATATTTAAAAAAAACAAAACACTAACTTTGATAGCCAGTGCAGTGTTTTTTTTTTATAGTCTATTATCTGTGAGTTGTATATCGAGTGAACGTCAGGCCCTGAAATATCAAGAAGGAGCCTTTGCATTCATTTGATCAACATACAGTAAAACAGTAATATAGTAAAACAGTAATTTACTGTATGTATCAACATACAGTAAAACAGAAAGTACAAGAATTGCATTTATTTGAAATAGAATATTTTGTAACATTATAAATGTCTTTACTGTTACTTTTGATCGATTTAATGCATCCTTGTTGAATAAGTGTATTCATTTCTCTTATCCCAAAATATGACTTTGCTATCAGAAATAAAAGAAGAGCTTGAACAACTCACAGTGGAAATCAAGAAACATGCCAACTTTGTCCGGACCAGCCTCAAATGTGAGTTTGATGTCGAGCTGCTTCTGTCTGTTGATGATAGTAAAGCAGAGGTCACCAATGCACTTGAAAAAGGAAATAAATAAGTTCTGATCTATTTTCTCTTCAGCAATGCAAAAGAATCTACCTCCAGATGGGCAGGAAAATGCAGTGGATGCACGCATTCAGAAAACACAAGTGAGACATGTCTCTCTCCTTTAAAATCCTACCATACTGTACAGGCATATTTTCATCTCAAACTGATTTATTGCACTTACTGTTTTTTTTTTAGTACACTAACTTGTCACATAAGTTTGTGGAGGCAATGACACAATATAATGAAACCCAAGTGTCCTTCAGAGAGAAGAGCAAAAGCAGGATTCAGAGACAGCTGGAGATCAGTGAGTCACACGTGTACCTTCATACATTCACAAACACATATGTACATATGATACCTGTTAACTAGACTATTGACAGTTGACAAAAAATTACCATACTGTATATATTTTAATGCATACACTGTGTATTAATAAAAAAGGCCCACTTATTCCCTCTGAGAAAGCGTAGGCGCTGCCTTGTTTTACGCTTTGCATATCTGCAGTCCTAGTTTCGGTTTCCCTTTTTGAATGATGATATAAAATATATCGAAACCTGCTGATATAGACAGTTATTTCCTTACACGCAGGCGCATTCTAGAATGCATGTGCTAGCTGACTGTCAGCTGTAGTGTTTGCAGTGTGTTGTTTGGCCCAGACGCAGCCGACGCGAGCCGACAACACAGGCAGCTTTTGTCACCAGTCACCACTAGCTCTTTGACGTCGGCTGGGTGTGTCATTACCTTTAAACTGTGTTTGCTAGGGATGAACGATATTAGGCCGGTATTAGAGATTTTAAAAACGTATCAGTATTGGTTGATATTATATATATATATATTAGCTAAAATTGGATATTTAAATTTGCAACTCATCTCTTATATTTTTACATTTAGATTACCTTGGCCTTGATCCAAGACTTACTTAAAATTAATCTTTAAAAAAGTTATATTATTTAATAGTTATTAATTCAATAATTTATTATTAACATGTGAAAATGATATATGAAATGTATTCTCTAGCCAACGTCATAATGAATATCCGTTTTTCATACTGTACATAATGTTGTGATGCCTAAATACACTTAAGCATTTAAAATGATTCATTTTAGTTGAAGCGCTTTATTTTTTATATTATTTAGGCAAAATAGTAATAGAATTTGGTCCGGTATGGGCAAAAATGTTTGCCTATTCATTGTTTTCCCCTCTTATCACATGACATTCTGCTCCTGAAATATAATTTGAGTAGTGTGTGTGTGTGTGTGTGAGAGAGAGTGAGTGTATGTGTGTGTGTGTGTGTGTGTGTGTGTGTGTGTGTGTGTGTGTGTATTAATGAGGTACTTTCTTTGCTTTCCGACACGTGAAACGGAGTGGTTTGTCACCAGAGACTGTAAGGCGAGTGTTACCTGGGCAACAGGCCTCCAGAGATCCTGCTGTACCTCTGCACAGTGGGCCAGGAGCGGAATGTCATGTGATAGTATAGTGAGTCATAAGTCATGTGACTGTTGTATTCGCATGAAGACCCAGTTACCTCAACTTTGCATTTGAAAAAATAAAATCCATGAAAAAGGTTTTTCAAAAAAAGGTGACTTTATATCAACGCTTTATGTATTTGTTTTATGCTATTTAAAGTCAGTATTTGAGGTCCAATTAGTATGTTGTGAGATATTTATACAAGTATGAATACGTGCACTGGTCCACTGCTAATATTTTGAGTGTGTGTGTATTTTTCCAGTGGCCTTTGCATTGATGGTTTCAACCATTGTAATGTTCCTTCTCATTTTCCCAGCTGAATCAATATAGTCCCCTAGGCAGACTTAGCATGACCACACACACATCACAGCCATTTATCCATTGAGAAATGACAAATTCACACACAGGCAGCCATTTATCAAACAAATAATGGCCTAAACAGGATCGTTCAGTTCGTGAGAAGAGTGCTGTTTTTTTCTGATCTTTTACACTCTGAATATTGTAGCTGGAAGAATTACAACTAATGAGGAATTGGAAGAGATGCTGGAGACTGGAAACCCTTCCATTTTCACCTCTGATGTGAGTTTGCTTCTCGAAAATGCTTATTTCCAGTCTTACTCTAGGCTGAAGAAAGGAATATTAAAATACTGCAGCTCTCATCCAGAGTCAATTTCCTTTGGCCTCTCATCTTACTGTTTTAATGACATGACATGAGAGAGACTAATCTTTTCAACAATTATGCAGAATTAGCACCCTCTGCTGGCTGTTTCTCTGCATTTTGTGTAATGGTCTGTTTAAAGCAGGGATGTCCAATCCTGCTCCTGGAGGGTCACTGTCCTGGAAAGTTTAGCTCTAACCTAAATTAAACACCTGAATATTCAAGGTCTTTCTAGAAACTTCCAGGCAGATGTGTTGAGGCAAGTTGGAGCTAAACTCTGCAAGACTGTGGCCCTCCAGGACCGAGTTTGGACACCCCTGGTTTAAGGGACAGCTCACCCAAAAATAATAATTCTGTCATCATTAACTACATTAATCTAAACCCATATTTCTAACATCGAGTACTGACTGAGAAATTTTGAACAATTATTCATACCCTTTTATTAAATACCTTTTTGCAATCTCTTTTTGCCAAGATAACTGCTCTGAGTCTTCTCCTATAATGTCTGATGAGTTTGGAGAACACCTGACAAGAGATCAGAGACCATTCCTCCATACAGAATCTCTCCAGATCCTTCAGATTCCCAGATCCATGTTGGTGCTTCTTCTCTTCAGTTCACTCCACTCATCAGGTCAGGGGACTGGGACGGTCATGGCAGAAGCTTCATTTTGTGCTCCGTAACACATTTTTGTGTTGATTTTGATGTTTGTTTTGGATCGTTGTCCTGATGGAAGATCCAACCACGGCCCATTATAAGATTTATAGCAGATGGCGTCAGGTTTTGATTTTTTATCTGTTGATATTTGATAGAATCCACAATGCTATGTATCTGAATAAGAAGTCAAGGACCTCCAGCAGAAAAATAGGCCCCCAACATTAAAGATCCAATGGTATATTAAATTGTACACATGGGGTACTTTTTATCCTTGTGTGCACCAAACCCATCTAGCGTGTTTGCTGGCAAAAAGCTCTTTTTTAGTTTCATCTGACCACAGAACCCTGTGCCATTTGAAGATCCAGTCGTGTCTGACAACTGAATGTGCTGGAGTTTGTTTTTGGATGAGCGAGGAGCATTTTTCTTGAAAACCTCCCAAACAACATGTGGTGATGTAGGGGTTGTTTGATTTCTTTTAATAGGCTTTCTAAACCCCAAGACTCAACTAGTCTCTGCAATTCTCCATCTGTGATCGTTGGAGAGTCTTTGGCCACTCAAACCATCCTCCTCACTGTCCATTAAGACAATATAGACACACGTCCTCTTCCTGGCAGAATCGTAACATCTTTAGTTGATTATAACTTCTTAATTATTGCCCTGATGGCCAAAATGGGGATTTTCAATTCTTTAGCTATTTTCTTACATCCACTTTCTATTTTGTGATGCTCAACAATCTTTTGATGCACATCAGAACTATGTTCTTTGGTTTTATTCATTGTGATGGATGATTAAGGGAATTTGGCCTTTGTGCTTCCTCATTTTTAAACTCCTGTGAAACAAGAAGTCATAGCTGGACAATTTCATGTTCCTAGTCACCCTGGTGTGCTAAAAAAGGTAAATATTAATGGGAATATACCTCAGAGATATTTTATTCATAAAAAATTATAGGGGTATGAATAATTGTGGCCAACGTGTTTTGGAGAAAAACATTTATTTTATAATGTGATTACCCCCCATTTTCAATTCTTTTACTTCAATAAAAGGTTAGATTTTTGCCAATTCTTTGAATGAAAGATCAAAAGGATGAACGATGCAGATTTATTTTTTTACAGACATTTTTGATCATATTTACCAGGGGTATGATAAATATCTTATGCTCACCAAGGCTGATAAAAAATACAGTAAAACGTAATTTGTGAAATATTATTGCAATAAAATAACAGTAATCATATTTATGTAATCATAATGTAATCATATTCATGTAATCATCATTACTCCAGTCTTCAGTGTCACATGATCCTTCAGAAATCATTCTAATATGATGATTTGGTGCTTAAGAAACATTTGTTATCGTCTTTATTGTTCTTACAGTTTTTCGAAGAAAAAAAAAATAAAGAGCTACGTACAGGTTTTTAACATGAGGGTGAGTAAATGATGACACAATTGGGTGATCTGTCCCTTTAATGTTCATGCAGTGTTGTCACAGTTTTTAAGTTCCTAGAGGCTGTTAAAAGATATCCTTTGATTTCAGATCATCTCCGACTCCAAGATAACTCGACAGGCCCTCAACGAGATCGAGTCTAGACATAAAGACATCTTGCGGCTGGAGTCCAGCATTAAAGAGCTACATGACATGTTTGTAGACATGGCCATGCTGGTTGAGACCCAGGTACAGTATACAGTTATCACTAATCTTTATTGTTTGTTTGTTCACTTATTTAGTTAACCTTTATTTAACCAGACAAATCACTTAAGAACAAGTTCTTATTTTCAACAACAGCCAGGCAGGGGAGTTAAAATCTCCTGAAAGACATACAAACACACATTGCCATGCACACACATATACATTCAATTAAAACATTTACAGGCTGTGATAAAAAAAAATATTGCAGAGATTGAAATATATGTCTCTAATTTCAATGACTTTTGTAGCACATTCCAATAATTTGGAGCACCAAAAACAAAAGCAGAACGACTATAAACGGTTTTCTTATTAGTTAGCATATTGGTTTAGTTGTTATTAGCACACTGCATTGTGCATTCATTCGTTGATTCACTCATTTATGTTGTACAGGGTGAGATGATTGACAACATTGAAAAGAATGTAAACAATGCAGTAGAATACGTCGACCATGCTAAAGTGGAGACCAAGAAAGCTGTCAGGTACCAGACACAGGCCCGCAGGGTAAGAGAAGAAAACCATAGAGAAACTGATTAGCTCTGAGATTAAAGGCTGGAATGACTGCACTACACAACACAACTTGAACAGATTTTAAAACACTAGACATCACACATTTCCCAACTTTGTAAATGGTTACAGAAACAATTCGGCATCATACACTAAACATCTGAGGATCACAACTTTCAAGTTGTTCCAAACACGGCAAACTCAGGCAGAAACATGCGCCTTGTTACTAGGAGACGGGCGACAAACGCAAACAATAATGTGTTTGAAAATCAGCTTAAAATATCAAACACATTTGACTGGATGGAATCAAAGTCTTAACGCTAAAAGAGCCTTTGTCCATCATACACTACATGATTTTATGCGGAATCTGTCAACTCCCATTGCCCAAAATCTGCAGGCTGGGCTCTGACTTCCGGCAACTAGCGTCGACTCCTCCAGACATTAAATCGTGGCAAAAACCTTGGCAAAACCCATGTAGTGTATTCCAGCCTTAAGAAGCCACATTATACCCCGGTTTCACAGAAAAATGCATGTTTGAGCTGTTTTAACTGAAAGCAACTATATCTTAAAATATATCCCTGCTATTGTTTTGTCTCAAGATGCACACCAGTAATATTTGTTCTAAGTCATGTTTATAAAAGCTACTTAAATGTCCTAATTGGACTAAAAGGCCTTTTCCTGGCTTAAATTAAGCTCTGTCTGTGAAACCAGGCCCACTTTTTTTTGCCTCCAATCAGAGTTTGTAATATTCAGAAATAATACAGCCCTAAAATAAATGAGATTGTTTTATAATGAACACATTTGGAGGGCGTAGAGCTCTTTAGCTTTATTATATCACAATATGTACTACAGGCTTAAGAATATTCTGTTCTACAGAATTTTTAAATGTTAACAAGTGCTTAAATAAATGCAATCATTATAACACTTTCTTTTTGTCTTGTACAGAAATACATCATTCTTGCTCTTATTGTTTTGTCCGTGCTTGGTGTGGTCGTACTTATTGTTGGCTTGTCTGTGGGCCTGTCTGCTAAAACCACTACTAACTCCGCCTCCTCCAGCTCAAATGCAGCCAATCCTGTCTAAGCATGGTTCCCAAGGTAACAGCCAATTACCAACAATCTCATCTAGCCTACTTTCACTTTCATTTTAAAGGGTTTGAAGAAAGATTCAAATAATGCCAGTTTATTTGCTTCTAACAAATTACAAAAAAGGTAAATTTACATTTAGTAATTTTATACATACTGATACTTTTCTGTTGTTCTTTATCTCCTTGTCATAGAAACTGGTCTATGTTGGCATTTGTGGAGCCGTGTGCATCATCATTCTTCTCGTCGTCATTGTCTTTGCAGTTTACAGCGAAAACAAATAGTTTTTTGTCCTGCTGCATACAACACTGCTCTTGATTTTATTACCAGAGAATTGTGTAAAAAATTCCAATGAATTGTGGTCAAAGACTTTCCTCTGAGTTGTATGCCTTGCCACTTACTATAGCAACCAGAGGTAATGACATGTAATGTCTGACTGACAATGTGGAGTTCAATGCAATCCAATAAAGTGCACTTAAGATATGCTTTAATAAATAAATAAAAATGAAACTGTTCAGTTGAACTGCACTGAAAAGTTCAAAATAATTTGTTTCAGCTTTTACACATTGGTTTGACTGTTCGATATGACAGTTGTCTCCACACAATATGAGGTCAGATCTGTGAACAATGTTACAAAACAATGTTTTTCTTTTTTGTCTCTTGCATGTGACTGTATCCGAAAGGAATGTTACCATATAGTCAAATGCTCACAAAGTATATTGTAAAATAAATGAGTTGCTCACTCTGCTCAAAACTGTCATACTGTATCCTTCTGTTGGTGAATGTTCATCACATACAATTGTGTTCAAAAGCTTGTAGTTTTATTCAGCAAGGATACATTTAATGGACTTTACTGTCTCTTTTAATCATTTACATTGCTACAAATATTTAGCTTTCTATTCATAATGAAACTTTAATATTGATCATATTTAGAAATGTTTCTTGACCACAAAATCAGACTATTAGAATGATTTCTGAAGGATCAAGTGACACTGAAGACCGGAGTAATAATGCTGAAAATTCAGAATTTGAAATAAATTACATTTTAATATCTTTTTTAAATTGTCATAATATTTCACAATATTACAGTTTTTACTATATTTTAAATCAAATAAATCTTGGTGAGCATAAAGGTCTCATTTAAAAAAAATCTTACAGGCCACAAACTGTTTAATGGTATAGTAAATATTGCTTTCTCTACAGTGTCAAAACTAAAAATCATATGCTTTATTATTTACATTATCTTCTTTTGCATGGTATCGGTCAACTGATAATTCCATATCCAGAATGTCCAGAAAACACTATACTGTACCGTTGTTTTAATGAGAAGTCCTCAACACTCTTTGTTGATGACATCATCCTCACCGTTACCATGAGAACCTCAGTATGTGTGACAAAGCTGAAGCAGGTGCATATATTGATGCTCATGGGATTTTACCCTGGACGCACAGCAGCTGGGGAACACACTCACATACATTAGACACTCTAGATGCTGTCTCTGAAATCCATATGCACATACACAGCATGATGAAAGCTGAATAAATGCCTGTCGTGACATGACACTTTCAGGACATCATATCTCTGCTATTGGGCTGTGAGTGGGCAGAAGTACAGACATTATGTAACTCAAATGTTCCTGCTTCAGAGACAGTAAAGAGAGCATCCACACACACACACACACAAACATGCATGCATGAGAGAGAGCCAGTGAGAAATAAATAAATGAAAATCTCACCTGACCTGGTTAGGGTGAGTGAATACAAAGATGAAGCTGAAAGGGGAGACAGTGTTTGTAACGGTGAGTCAGTGCTCCTCTCTCATTCTCTGTGTGAGTCACTGGAGCAGCAGCGTACTGTACTGGAAACCACAGGGAAGGACAACTAGGAAAACGTGAGTTCATTATAGGTATGAATGAGGATTTTCATTTTAAACCCTCTTGAGAGAGGTTGATTTTCTGTTGAATGAATCCAATGGCTATCAAATGCTGCGTGAAATATATATCTTAAAAATAAACATTCTTTATTGGCATCTATGGTTCCATATGAGGAACCTTTAAACATCCATGGAAACTTTTCATTGGATAAAACGTTCTTTATAGTGGGAAAAGGTTCTTGAGATTAAATTGTATTTCACTCTAAGAAAAAAAAAGGGTTCTTTTAAGAACTGTTCACTGAAAGGTTCTTTGGGGAACCAAAAATTGTTCTTCTATGGCATCACTGTAAAAAAAAAAAAAAAAAAACTTTTGGAAACTTTATTTTTAAGAGTGTAGCCTTGATTATTATATTACGTTTGACGTTTTAATTTCATTTGAAGTTTAAGAACAAGACCAGACTCGTGTTTAACTATTGAAATGAATTGTGGAATAGACATCTTCACACGTTTCATCTTCACTTGTTGACTTAGTATTCTGACTAGTTCTTTGACATGACGGCTGTTTTTTTATTTCTAATATTGAACATAGAAAAGTTCCTTTTAATATTTTGACAGGGGAGAATACATGAACTGAAGAAAATGGATTAAAGTCCTGAATGTTTTTTGGACACTTGTGAATAGTGCAGGATTATTTATGGACAAACAAAAGCATGGAAGTTCCAGTTAAAAGAAAGTTTCAGAAGAAAACGTGCTGTTGTTTCATAGAATATCAGTCAATAACATGGGCTTTATGATATGGATATTGTGGATATCGTATATTGTGAAACGACAGCTGAAAGACTGTCTAATTGATGTGTTGTTCAGTCTATCAGTCATAGAAAATTTTTTATTCTTAATGACTAACTTTGTGCCATCTCAGAATTATTTATTAAATTAATTCAAATATTTTGAGATATACACTACTGGTCAAACGTCTATGGTCAGTAATGTTTTCTTAAGCAGTAATGATGCATTAAGCAGCACAACTGTTTTCAACAACAACAACAATAAATGTTTCTTGAGCACTAAATCAGCATATGAAGTTCAGCTCATGTTTTGCCCTTACAGTCCTTTTCATTTATGACAGCAACAGGGCTGATTTTTTTTTGCTTATACAGCACGGAAAATTTGGGAAAACTATGCTGGGGATAAAAAGAAATAGAAAAAGAAAAGAAAAGAAAATAATTTTACTGGATTGTTGTCAATGTGCTAAAAAAATGTCCTTAAATAACACATGCTGTAGTGAAATTAAATGAAAATTGTGTCATTACTTACTAACCCCCAAGTTGTTCCAAACCTGTATGAATGTCTTTCTTCTGTTGAACACAAAAGAATATATTTTAAATGAATGTTGGTAACAGACAGTTGATGGTAGCCATTATTTACTTCCATAGTAGGAAAAAAATAGTATGGAAATCAATGGCCACCGTCAACTGTCTGGTTACCAACATTCTTCAAAATATTTTATTTTGTGTTCAACAGAAGAAAGAAACTCATAGAGGTGGAACAACATGAGTGACAAAATGACATTTTTGGGTGAACTATCCCTTTAAACCTGGGGCCTATACCATGAAGCCGGTTTAGGTGGCTAGCCAGCTATGTTTCAGCTTAGTTTCCGCCAACCCTGGGTTTTAGGTACTAAAGTAGCTCGGCTTTAATCGGTGTTCGTTGCCATGGTACCTTACGCTGCACGGCTAACCTGCTCCGGGGCAGGTTAATGGTGCGTTCTATTATAGCCAACGAACCGACTCGGACCTCGGATATGACGTCACGTCCACACTTCAAGCGTTCTATTATGTTTTGGGCGTCCGAGTCGGAGAAAAAAATGGACGCCACCCGTTGTAATGGTAGCACTGGCTGAGTACCAGGCGCTCCAAAATAAGTATGTGCTTCACCTTACAGAACACCGAGGAAGAACTTGAACTTGAAAATGTTCACTTTATTTCATGTTTTTCATGTTAATCTTCTGTTAGCAACGCTAGCAACGTAGTAATTGCACTCACAACAACCGATTCCCATACCTACAGGGGACGCAGTAATACGAGTGATTATAATCATCATTTAAAATACCAAAGCGGTTCAAAAACAATGAAAACAATTCAAACTTTCAAGTCACACAGGGCGCAGCCATCTTGAATTCCGAAACGGAATTGTTGCTCGGTGTCCTCACGGTTGTCCGACGTCCGAGAGGAGAAATCCGAGGAAAGGGGGCGTGTTGCTACGCAACGTCTGTCTTCCGATTCGGATCTCCGAGACGGATAAATAATAGAACGCGACATAAGTTCTGGATTCGAGATCTCAGACTGAAGTTTGACCAATCAGCTGTGAGCAAAGAAACATATAGGTGACGTAACTAATTCCCAGTGTTTGTTGCAATGGCTTTACATTTTCTTTAAAATCCTGTGGACATCTCAGCGCAAATTGTTAGACGAGCACATCGTAGAGAAAGAGTTTTTAGCCGGACAAAATCCCCTTGCCTTTTTACCGATAGTGTAGGCCATGAAAGATACAGATTTTCTGCGGAAGGAATATCTTATCTTTGCGAACTTCTTGAGCCGCACATAAATAATTTAACACATCGAATTCATGCACTTACTGTACCATAAATGGTATTGCGTTGCGTTTTTTTGCAAGTGGTAGCCTACATACTTGCACGATCGGTGCACAGAATCTAGGGAAAAACACGGTTTGTCGAACCATTCGTAAGGTGGTCCTCGCTCTGCAGGAGTACATTAATAGTTTAATAGTGTTCCCCAGACATGTATTGACCATGTCCATAAGAGAGGGTTTTTATAAAATTGCCGGTAAAATATATTGATAGGGTGACATCACGTTTTTTTTTTTTTTTGTTTTTTCCAAAAGCAAATTTCACAAATGTAGCCTACTATATAATACAGTAGCCTACATGTTAAGCATTATTTTAATCTTATGATAGGATTCCCTATAGAGTCATTGGAGCAATAGCCTGCACACATGTTGCAATCTCCACTTCTCTAGGAGAACATGAGGCAGATTATGTTAATAGAAAGTCTTTTCACAGCCTTAATGTTCAGGTAGAGATTATGTGAACATGTGAAATTATTATTTTCTGTGAGATGAATCTTTAAATTAATAGTAAAATTAACAGATAACAATCTACTTTCCGTGAGAATGTTGTGTCAGCGCTTTGAGGAAAGCTAGTTAAATTTGGTACAGTACAAAACACTACACAATAACCCCCTATCATGACCCTCATGTGTAAGTAAAACCATAGGAAAAGTTAGAGATGATCTTTGGCATCCTAAAGGCACGTTTCAACTGTCTTCGGAGCTTAAGAGTCACCAGAGTGGGCATCACAGATAGTGACCGAACGGACAACATGACGGTAGTCTCGTATATAAATCGTCAGGGTGGACTCAGATCGAGCTCCCTGCACTCGATGGCCAGGGAGCTCCTCCTATGGTCCCAGCGCAACCTGCGCTCGCTGAGAGCAGCGCATGTGCCAGGTGTTCTGAACCAGGGAGCGGACATGCTGTCCAGAGACAAAGTTCTCCCAGGAGAATGGTCTCTCCACCCCCTGACGATTCAGTGGTTATGGCAAACCTTTGGCAGAGCAGAGGTCGACCTCTTTGCCTCCAAGGAAAATGCGCACTGCTCTCTCTTCTTTTCAAAGAGCACAGACGCGCTCGCCCAAATCTGGCCGAGCCGCCCGCTGTATGCCTTCCCTCCGGTCGCGATGCTACCTCAGGTCATCAGTCGGATCAGGGAGGAGAAATGTGCAGTGCTCCTGGTAGCCCCACTCTGGAAGAACCAGACGTGGTTTCCAGAACTGATGCAGATGATGCAATCTACCCCATGGCCGATTCCACTGAGGCTAGACCTCCTCAGGCAGGCCAACGGGATGATCCTCCATCCCCGCCCCGATCTGTGGGCCCTCCATGCATGGCCCCTCAACGGGTTCCCGGGAACCTCCCCAGTGGAGTGTTGAGAACCATCACTGAGGTGCGAGCGCCCTCTACGAGGCGCTTATATGCCCAGAAATTGAAGGTGTTCAGTGACTGGTGTAAATCCAGGAACCTGAACCCTGAGACATGCGAAGTACCGAGTGTGCTCGTTTTCTTACAAGAGCTGTTGGAGGCAGGCCGCACCCCCTCCACGCTCAAAGTATATGTGGCTGCCATAGCGGCATCACACGACCCCGTAGAAGGACGCACACTAGGGAAAAACTACCTAGTTGTTCGTTTCCTGAGGGGCGCCAGGAGGATAAATCCCCCACGCCCCCCCTCAGTGCCGATCTGGGACCTGGCCACGGTCCTGGACGCACTCAAAAGTGCCCCGTTCGAACCCCTCCGAACTGTGCACCTTAAACAGCTCTCGCTCAAAACTGCTCTCTTGCTGTCTCTCGCCTCGGTCAAAAGAGTGGGCGACCTGCACGCGCTGTCATCAAGCGCTGCCTGCCTGGAGTTTGGACCTAACGACAGCAGAGTTGTCCTCAGGCCAAAACACGGGTATATTCCTAAGGTGCTCTCTACACCCTTCAGAGCACAGGTGATATCTTTGGCCGCACTATCGTCTCCAGCGGACGAAAGCGACGCTAATTTACTCTGCCCGGTCAGGGCGCTCAGAGTATATTTGGAACGTTCTGCCCTGTTCAGACAGACAGAGCAATTGTTCGTATGCTTTGGTCGGCCGCACCAAAGGTCTCGCTGTTTCAAAGCAGAGAATATCGCGCTGGATAGTTGATGCTATAGCGCTGGCTTATGAAGCCAAGGGCCTTCAGGGAACCGAGTTACGTTAGTAACCGAGTCGCTCTCGCTCTATCCATATCGAACGCGATTGGTTGTTCGGTGCCAACGTCACTTTGGTATGTGCACACGCTCGTGGAGTAATCATAGCTTAAGATCAAAGCCTGAGTTGACAGAGAAAGTTGATGAGCTGCGTCATGGTACCAATAAAGCCTGATTGCATCGGTTTGGTTTTGTCAACTCAAAACTAATAACTCCGAGTTTGTTAAGCTCCCTTCATGGTACAGGCCCCTGGTGTCAGTTATGTATTGTTTACACACATTTTCATGAGGAACACAAAAGTGGCCATTTCGTCACGGAGTTACTTTTTATGTAATTAGGCTATGTAATCAAACATACTCTGTTTAAGAGCAAAAATAAAAGTAAATATATACAAAAATACCAAAATAAAAATTTGTAAATAAAAGATGTTGCAAACAAAAAGTCTTTTAATTACAATAACAACGTTATGTAATAAGTGGTATAAAAAAAAAAATCATCAAAAATTGCTCCGTTCTGTACAGTTGTCAATGTCAATTGTTTAATTATTTTCAGTGTGTGATTGTAAAAAAAAAAAAAAAAACACAAAAGTGCGTGCATATTTCGTGGCCTGACCCTTGTAAAGCTCCAGCGGGCTTTTCTGTAAGGCTCGGAGGGGAGAGTGTTCTGCTGTTCTTGCCTCAGGCAGCGTCCTCAGTTTCCAATGGACTGCTATCGAGTGACTCTATTCATAGCCCTTGTCCTGTCCCGGGCAAACCATGTGGCCTCTCAGCAGTACTACACCGCACATCTGTCCAGAGAGTCCAGACGCTTTCCAATGCTTTCTCCATTATCATTTAGTCAGACTTATTTAAAAAGCAATACTATCAGAGGGGATTATGTACACCCCCTGAAAGGGCTTCTTCCTTTCCTGTCTCTCCTCAAGCCGCTTTCTTCACAGCCATTTTCTGTACAGTAACAATATAATCCAGCGCCCGCTCTTATGTAACTTCAGCGAAGTGCAGACATTAATAATCCCACGCGGCCTGTGGCCTGTGGCACGCGGGCTCTGTGACATCACCGTCAGCAGGAGTGGAGTATGACTAGAGGACTGTGGGTAAACACGTTTAAGAGCAGGACATGATGGAGCGGTTTGCTGGAGTTTACAGAGATGTGTAGATTATTCATAGATTATGGGCCATGGTATGTACGGATGTGTGGATTAAGACCTAATTGATTTGTAGATTACAGCATTGTGGATTGTGTGTCATGCAGTATAGGCTACACTAAATTTTAGGAGATGATTTTAAACGTATTTGTATCGTCTTTAGGTTTTATGTTTGCATGTATTATGTTTGCTTAGGTTATTAGGGATTATTGGATTAATAGGGAATGGGAATGTAAAATATTATCTATGGATATGTGTTTATAAGAATGATTTATGTTGTGCATGCAGGGGACATTGATGTTCATGCTTATGGCTCAGCCTCAGTGTGTGTGTGTGTGTGTGTGTGCGTGTGCGTGTGTGTGTTTGACTGCACCAGGGGTCTGTGCATGATCTCAGACGTCTGGGGGGGATTTGTATGCATTATGTAAAAAGTGTTTGTGTATGTGTGCACATTTTTTGCTTGCGTTTGTGTATGTGTGGGTAGGGGAGTGTTGTACCATTTTGTTTCTCTGTCTGTTTTACTGCTATGTGTCATTTAATCTGCCATTCAAATGTTTGGGGTTGGTACGATTTCTTAATATTTTTTTTTATTTTTAAAGAAGCAATTTATGCTCACCAAGGTTGAATTATTTAGTTAAAAATACAGTAAAGATTACTATATATATATATATAGTTAATGACAATCTTCATGCACCCACGCCACTAGGTGTCAGAAAAGAGTCCAAGACAGCTGGAATAAAGAAGAAATAAGCGCACCATGTGCTTCAATGTCATCAAGTTAAATAAACAAGAGAATGTAGGGCTACTAATAGGCACTAGTTATGTTATTTAGCGTCCATTGACATCAAATTATAACCAGATGTGGAATTTTACTTGTACCAAAATTGTTTGTTTTTATTTGTTTATTTGACTAAATACTATTGTTTTGTCTTGTAAATCCTCTATATTTGAGACTAAGACAGAGATTTAATACTTGTACTGTCACACCAGGGGAATAGTGATCATGAATAATAGTAATTGTACCCCTGTTGCACATTTTCTAGTCTAGTTAGCTAAACTGGTGTTATGACTCTCCCTGGCCTATGGATGTTTAAGTGACGTGTATCTGTCCTGTAGGAGATGATGGGGGTTGAAAGGCAGTGTGAGGTGGAGGTACTAAAACAGCCCCAAAAGGAGTTACAGTGTGTCCGAAAACAGCTGTCAGTCAACTCTAACAGAACCAATGGACCAGGCAGGACCAAGGATCAGGTAAGTCTTTGGGTTAATCAAAAAATACACCCCAACATTATCATTAATTGTTTGTGTTTTTAGATGTTGTATGGACTTGATTGCAAAATGTGTGTGTATATATTAATCATAATGTGAGTACTTCAGTCAGTGAAAGGTTAGCTTTTTTATTTTTTTGAATGAAAGATCAAAAGGATAAACAATGCACATTTATTTTCAAAGCCTTCTTTGAGCAAGGTGCGCCAATAATTCTGACCTGGACTGGACTGTGTATATATATATATATATTTGAGATTAGCTTGGTTTAGATTTTAGAATTGAAATGAAGGATGCATGAATCTGCTAGTAATGTCTAGTTTTGGTTCAGAGCTGTGACCTAGGCATTATTGGATTAGTCTGTGTCCTGGTCATGGTTTGGTTTTCTGAGGACTTGGCCTACTCCCTCTTCAACCCTTTTCCACCCCTCCTTTCCCTCGCACCCTCCATCTGTTCTTTCACCAAGAAAAAAAATCACGGACTACTTTCTGAAGTCACTTGATGACCTGTTGTAAGCTTTGTAAGCAGCTAGTATCATGAACATTTAGGAGCACCTGTGGCATTCCTTTGAGTAACAGATCAACATTCATCATTTGACTTATCATTTGTAGCTTGTTGAAAGATCAAATTGTACAGTGGGTCTTTTTGTGGCAAAGTAGCCATTCAGTTGGCTCCAGTCTCTTATTTAACAGAGGTGAAATCGATCCTTCACTTTAAACCTACAGTGCTTATGAACAGACACGTTTTCTGCTTCAGATCTGAAGAGGATGGAAATTGCTCACTTATACTCAGGGCAAATAACATTTACTTGGCTGGAGTGTTTTAGAGATGTTAATGAGGCCTGCGATGTACTCGGGGTCTAGATGTGCCTTTTAGAGATGGGAATCAGTGCAGGTTTATATAGAGTGTTGCCATATTTGGCTGTGGTTATGCAATGCTAGATGTCCCATGAGACAGCAGAGCGCTCTTTTGGGAGAGACTGAGGGAGACAGAGTAGAATGACTGCCCACTTAATAATTGTTGGGTTGCCAGGCAGCAGTTTAATGAGTATCCAAACAAGTCAAGCTTGTTTTTCTGTCTAGTTTGTAATTTTATTTCCATGTATATTTCTTTCTTAAATCTCATCTTCTTTGCTGGACACGCTGCTGTATTCATGCACCGTATTCATTTGTTTCTGTTGGCATTTTAGTAATTGTGCAATACCTGTGAGAGGCACAGAGGGCAGTCTTGTCCTATTGTTTCATTGCTGCGTCCGGGGAAACCCTGAACCATCCAAATAATCCTCCTTAATACCCTGCTGCTCCTGCATCCCTGATCTCTGATTGGCCGCGGCTGCTGGGAACGGTCCTGCCACTGCACAGTGGGAGATAAACGATTGGCCAGACTCACTCACTGGCGGAAAGAGTAAGCGAGCACGCATGAGAACAGGAGAGAGAGGGTTTACAGGGTTTCTCACAAGGGATCCTCATTAACAAATCCGCCTTCTGCAGTCAAATCGCAGATATGTGTTAAAGCATGTACTGTAATACGCAGACATACGCTGAGTATGTACTGAATTCTCGACCATTGATGAAGCATGTTCCTTAGATAATGCAGGTGTGTAGTATAAATACATTTCCGCCCGGGCATAATACATCCGCCATGTTGGAATTGTCACCTGACCCGGATGTTCTTTGACGTTTGAGCCATGGCCACATGGGATAGTAAAGTGTTCACTTGTTGCACACAGAATCTCTGCTGAATACTACTATTCAGACACCCTTCTAATTAGTCATACTGATTTTTGTATATATATATATATAGTATTGTGTTTATATGTGCAAGAATATTCTAACATTTATCAGAATTTTGTCATTATGTAAGTGTCACATAAAGACATTAACCTGATTTCCATAATTAGATGAATCCAATATTCCAGTTACTAGAAATCTGAATCAGACCACTTGCATATGCCTATATTAATCAGAATTTAGGTTTGTGTAAAAACAAATATTTGTGATATCCATTGTAACTTAACATTAATCTGCAACAAAGGTAATTCTGGGTCATAAAGAAACTAAATAGTTGAGCTATTGAAGAAACACATTTTTTTGAGCAAGGATGAGGTATGTTAAAGTCCCATAGTGACAGATCTTAAGAAAATGAATGAAAATCTTATTGAAAAAGAAAAAATGTAGGCGGGGAGCCGGGGACTTTGTTCAGTCCATCAGTTGTTGATTGGATGGAGGAGGATCTGAATGTGAGCTTCCAGTCAATTGTAAGAAAGGGGCGGGGTTTAAGCGGACTAAATTATTGGAGAAGTCTGGCATACATCACCAGCGAGAAGTCTGTTGTTTTCACTGGAAGAGGTTGAGTTATGACATTATAATTAAACAGTAAAAAATTATTAAAAATAAATCAAACATATACATGGATGCAGTGGCGTAGGTTTGATTTTGAAATTGGTGGGGACGGGGACATCAATATTTAATATATTTAAAGTTTTGATCGAAAATTTTGCTAGGGATATTTCAGTGTCACTGGATATTGGTAGGGACACGTCCCTAGCGTCCCTACTAAATTCTACGCCCCTGCATGGATGAATTGTTCACAATAAGATTAATTCATTTAAAAATGATTTCATCCTTGAATTTTCATCCTTAAAACGTCATGGAGACGGGAAGGACATAAATGAGAATTGAGGTGTATGGGTTAATCTAATGTATTTAGGATTATTCTGATAGCTGTGTAACTTGGTCTAAGGTTTACTACAATATTGACCTTAAAATGAGAAAATGATGTTTATGTAAATGTAGCCAGAGATGGGGGAATGGAGTGTGTAAGAGAAAATTCAAAAACACCGTATTTGACCTTGTCAGCTCCAGTCATGGCCCTCCAGGGCGGATGGGTGATGCTCACCTGGAAGATAATGCAGATGCACAGCATTTGGCATGAGAGACGGGTATTTACATCAGAGATATCAAAGTGAACCAACAACGCACGACTGTTCTGCTGTAAGCTGCACTGGCTCTGCACTTGTGCGTGCTTCTGTGAGTGTGTGTGGTAAAGGGAGATGGAATAGGCCAGTGGTGTTCACATATCTTCTGATCCAGCACACATGTAGAGCGCTCAAAGCGCGCGCTAAATGCAGAGTGTATTCGTGTGCTGCGCTCTTCCAGCAGTGTGTGAGTGAGTGAGTGCGCGCGCGTGCGGTCTCCTCAGTACCGCCCGCTCGAGCGCTTTTCCCTTCCCGACGGTCGCTAATGAACCGTTTTAAGCCCGGATAGCACGGACAGCGGACCGGAGCCGTCAGCCGCCCCTTAATATGACACAGTTGGACGCGGCTGTCTTTACGGGAATCATCTTTTAACGGAAGAGCGGCGAAAGAGGTAGAGTCGCTGTCCATCGCTTGTTTTCGTGCACGCGCTCAGCTGATTTGAGAGCATGTTGTGTTGATAGGTGAGGTATTGGATGGTTTGGTCAGACATGCCTTTAAATTTGTTACAATTTGGTTGTTTTGTCGGTTAGATGTTAACGTTGCTGCTTTGGATGTAAATTTTTATGATGGCTCGTGCTCGTGTGGTTGTCTGCACTATAACCTTATAAATACAGACGGTAGTCTGCATGCTGTATTAAATGTGCTGAAAACATTATTCAGGATTTCTCTGCCAGTGAAACACATGTCTGTGTGGGGTAGGTTTGTCCAAAGCCATTTTATATTGCAGCACTGCTGAATATCTCACAGTAGCTTGTACTATTAAAGAGATAGCCCATCACTTCTGAGCTCTTCAAACTCCCTCTAGATTTCTCTGTCATAATCAGAGACAGTTCTTTATTTTAGTAACAATTAAACGTGTTATTCATTTTTAAACAACCTAAAAGTGATATGTGACGCCGGGGCTAGTTGTCACAGGGGTTATGTCTCATCCAAAAGTCCAATTACACAAATGTGTTTTTTCTTTGAATGTTGATTTCTAGTTAAAACCCTTCGTACATGATTAATATAAATATATATATATATATATATATATATAGGCCTATATAAAATAAATATATATATACATTTATACAATTTATTAATTATAATTCATAAGCGTTTTACTAACCAATATCAAAAAACTACAGACGTGATATTATTAGTCACCATGAAATCAAAATTGACAATTCCTATTTTTTATGTAACATTGCCGTATTTATTATAAATGATTTATCTGTGCACATCTTTTTTATTATTATTATTTTTTTTAATTCATATGCCTACTTAATCTTTAAATATCAAAATAACCTCCCCTCCTTCTTGCAGCGACTTCTCTTCTCTTCTCTGATGACGTGTTTACTGGCGAAAGGGCGGGACAACCTGTCAATCACATGACATCACTGCAATAGCAAACCACAATGATCCAATCAATTCCTGATGGACTAAAAAAGTCCCGCCCTACATATTTTCTTGTTGCTGTTTCGCTTGGATATTTGTCACAATAGGGAAGAAAAGACTATTGCTACTTCCATTTCATGCTGACTTTAAGTACTTTAATATAATAATCGTTCAGTACCATGATAATTATGAAAGCACCATAATCATGCAGCATGATACTGTATGAGTACTTTTTTGTAAAGGGATTTCATTTTTAGCATCATATCAGTTGATGTCAGATCGATCTGTTTTGACAATGAATTTGTGTCTAGGGGAAAGGAGCATGACACATTTCATGCACAATTCACATGTTATCCTGAATTAATTTCAATCAGCAGCAGCCAGTTTAATAGTTATGGTTTTTCTATTAATTCCAGTTGCTTTATATCAAATGCATTTCGTCTAACCGCCAAAAAAATTCATTTCAAACACATGCAATCACCCATGTGCTTTTTAATTATCAATACAGTCTATATTAGTCTATACAGGTATAGATTAAAATAAGAATATACTGCTTTAAAGAAAAGATTGTACAGTTGGTACTTGGTATTGTTTTGTGGTCTCCGTAATAAGGTAAATGCTATTAAGCAGG